ACAATATTATTTTTATTAAATTTATTATATATTATATTATATTATTATTTATTTTATTATTTTTTATTTTTATTTTTGGTTTCTGTTAAACATTAGAATACATTTATTTTGTTTAAATGAAGTATAAAAGAAAGAGAGATAGAGCGAATAATAAGATTAATGTAGTATTTAAATTTCATAATTTAATTTAATTTTAATTTTTTTATTTTCCTACAAGAGAGAGATAGAAAGATTAATAAGCTTAAATTTGTATATTTTCATGTAACTTTACTTGTTTTTTATTTATTAATTCTTTTTCTGATATAATAATAAATTTATTTCTTTTTTAATATAGGGCAAGAGAAAATAAATTTATAAGCTTAAATATTTCTATTTTTATAAAACTTTACCTTTTATTTTATTTATTTATTTTTTTTGGTTAGAATGTATTTATTATTTTTAATAAATGACAAAAGTGAGAGATAGAGAGATTAAAAATTTTGAATTTATATATTTTCATGTAACTTTACTTGTTATTTTATTTATTTTTTTTTTTGATATTAGAATTTATTTTTTTTAATAAAGAACAAGAGAAAAAAAATTTTAATAAGCTTGATAAGCTATTTTTATATAACTTTATCTTTTATTTTAATTTTTTGTTTTTGTAAAATCTTTTTTTTTTTGGAATGAAAAGCAAGAGAGAGAGATAAATAGATTAATAAATTTTAATATATAGCTGATTGATAATTTTAAATTTAAAAATTAACTACTACTTCTATTATTTAATAGCTTTAATTCAGCTTTGTGTTATTTAAAAATACATCTTTACCCTAACTAACCCATTTGAAATATAAAATCATCTACAATCAGTCAGGGTTGATGGGGTACATTAATTAGTGTACTTTAGGTCTTTCGAAAAATAGTGCTTCACCATTAATTGCTTACTTCCACAGTAAGTCATATATATAGAAATTTACTGTTATTTTCCTAATGAATTCCTATCGCTTTAACATGAACGCTCTTCATATATACTTTTCTCCATTTTCATTTCCATCTCAATTTCAAAATTGCAACTTACTATATATCATGGTTTCGCAGATATATCAGCAAGAAACACTAATATTAGTCATTTTACGGATCTGATTAATTTTTTAGTTTTTGGAAACTTATATGTTAAAACTACTTCTTTACGTTTTTAATAAATATCATTGGCTGTTATTAAAATTTATTTTATTTCACTTGACTGATAAGTTGACTGATGAAACATCAATAATTTTATAACGCTGTCACAATATACAAAAAATACGAAGTACCTACTTAAATTTAATTAGAAATCATTTTTTAAGAATGTCTTTTATTTAATATATATTTTTATGTAAATTATTTTTTCTTTAATATATAATGTTTTATATCTTTGAGTTTATCAATATAAATGATTTTATAAAGAAAAATTGATTTATGTATCGAAGAAGGTTCGTCATTGTACTTTCGATACACAATAGAATAAAGATATTAGACTAGAACTTAATATAGTATATCTCAGTGAAGTAAAGTTACTTCTAATGTATTCCGTAACCGGAAGTTAATCTTATATTAAATGCGATACAAACTTATTACCAAGGCTTTGTGATGATAAATTATATATATTTTAATTATTAATAAATTTATTTTTTAAAAATATGTATTTTTATAATAATATAATATGTTAAATTCTAATTTAAAAATTTTTTTAGGCTTGATTTAAGTTTAAAACACAATTTTTTTCACAATAACAAAGTGATTTAATAAATTATGTTATATATTGCAAATAATAATTTTAATAATTTAATATCATATTTATATAGTATTTTTTTTTAATTCGTGTATATATTAATTTTACTATATTAAAACTTAACAAATAAGTAAATAATAATTTACCACTTATATAAAAATACCACTTATGTAAATTATTATTAACTTAATTTTTAAGTAATATAATAAAATTAATATATACACGAATTATATTTATATATATATATATATATAAATGCAAATAATTAAGTTCCAATTTCATTCTGAATTTCTCTGTATAAGTCAAAGCGCTTTTAAGTGCGCAAAGAACTGAGTTAAAAGACATTTAAATTTTACAATAAAATTATTATAAAAATAAAAGAAACCCGATATTATATAATTAAAAAGATATATAGATTAATAAAATATTTATTATACAATATGTGCAAGAAAAATAAAATATAAAAATTTCATAACTATATGAATACAATATTTTGACCCGATATTATATAAGATATTCTTAAATTTAAGATAAAAATAATATAATAAATTATTGTGTGTATGTATAAAATTAAATATTAATAATATTATTAATAGCTTATATGAATTGTATGTGCAAGAAATAGTTTGTGCGTAAATTATGTTAAAAAAAAAAGAAAATATATAAAATACTTTAAAAAAGTTAATAACTGTTTTATTTAAAAATTATTTAAGAAATAGTGACGAAAATAAATAATACTATATTTTTAAATTTAAAATAAATTGCTTAGAAAATATTAGAAATATGATTTATATACCATGTCTATGATAAGGCCGAAAAACAATTACAAGTCTCTGATAGAGAGAAGAGGTACTGTACTGTACAGTACTGACGTTCTTACAACTATGTTAAGGTGTCCCACCATAAAGCTGAGTTTGTTAGTAGATTATCTAGCAGGTCACCATTTGTCTACAATACTTTATTAATATGATGAGTCTACTTAAGAACGCAGAATGCCGGTTCTAATAAAAAACAGATAAGATCTCTAGCCACATTTACTGACCCAAACTGATCTGGTACAAAAGAAGTTAACTATACCTGGCGGCGTTACCCCTGTTGAGGATATATCACGTAATTCTCAACAAGTGATATTTTGGCTTTTATTTAAAAAATTGAGTGTCTTCTGTTTTGTTAGGATCAGTAAGCTACACAAAACACTTGCCATTGTCGCAGTGCTCTGGTTCATTGAAAACCAGTACCCTATTTATTTCTAATCTTAAAATCTTTATAATCTAAAATATCTATGAGTACAGCAATAACTAAAATCACTAAACTTCAATGTGATATTTTACCAAGCATACACTTATATTTTAGCTAAACACACAATAATGAAAAATTTTGCTTATAGAGCTTTTTCATCATCTTTTATAAAGATAAGAACGATTACATAGTAGTGGTCATTTACTACACACCATATACAAAGCATGCGAAGTAAATCTATACATGTTGCCTCTATCCTCTGCACTGGTTTATCTGATATTTAATGTGCACTCAGCACTTTTGGATTATAACTGGTTCTGCGCTATTAAATTGTTTCTGTATATTTAATATACATAACAAAATATAACAGCTCAAGCTCCTTTAAGAAATTTATGGTATTATTAATGATGACTTCAAACTATTAAGACAACAAAATTATGTGTTAAGTGAATTTACTACTATATAACTTTTAATAGAGCTTTAGATATCCAAAATAAACATAGTAAATCGATACTTGTTTATTTTATGTTGCCAGGAGGTCTAGAAAGGTGCGATTTGGGACGATTTGGGAGCGCTCGGTACTACCAACTCGGTACTACTTGTTTATTTTATGTTGCCAGGAGGTCTAGAAAGGTGCGATTTGGGACGATTTGGGAGCGCTCGGTACTACCAACTCGGTACTACTTGTTTATTTTATGTTGCCAGGAGGTCTAGAAAGGTGCGATTTGGAACGATTTGGGAGCGCTCGGTACTACCAACTGGCGACAGCAAGCAACTAATCGGGCTGGCTAACGGAGACTACTCGACGCGGCCAAGGACGACAATTTAATTTAAAAAATAAATCGAAAATTAAAATTTAAAATTTTTATAAAACAAAAAAAATTAATTTTGTTGTACTTGCAATATGATTGTAGTCTCTACTACTGTCAAAATGTGAGTTCATTAGCCACAGCACCCAATCACCGCTACTTCTTAAAATATGTTGACCACCAAAATTAGTTTAAGCATTTCCCCAAATAGTTAGTAAAGTGATTTCTACCCGTAGGCAGTGATTGGACACAATTTCTTCATACCCATCACTTACCCAATACTCTTATCACCTTCTTCCATGCAAATTCTTAGTTTTATAACCACCTTTTAGTATATAAATGTAACTTCTACTTGCTGAGTCTCAACGAAACGAGTGGATGAATTATAACAATAATAAAAGAAAGGATATAGTCTAAAAGTAAGTATTAAAAAATACTATTTACTTAAAAATATGTAAAAATACTAATTTCAAGTTGTTTTATATTCGTACAAAAAAGTATTTGAAAAATCGCTTTCCTTACTAAAAGGAATATCTTCACCTACATATCTCCAGACATATGTTCGATATAGGAAGAACAGTTAAGATTCGTTAGTAATACAATATTGCAAAACATAGTTTAAAAGTGTGAAAAAAAATTTAAAAATTCTATTATCATTATGAACCAAATGTAATGGAACCAAACGACATCATTACGAGCTATCTGTACTGAATACAATTTATATTTTTGAGTCGTGCATTAAACACACGTCCGGATATCGCAAAACTGATCGAAACATACTTGGAAATACTTAAATAGTGAATCCTACCTTAACCACCGGATACGCTAGACATTGCTCACTGTGACAATAATTTGTTTCTATCGATGACACATTGCTCAGCTCAACAGCAGTTCCATTCTCTCAAACAAGTCAAAAAATTGAAAGATTCGTGAATGGCCTTGAAAGATGAGGAGTAGTTTCGGCACAAAAACCGTATATTAGTACAAATATGAAAAAAGTAGCTGTTGACGATGTAGAATACTTTGAATACTGAACTCTTAACAATTTTTTTAATGCTTTTTTACTCCATAGTTCACTAATTTTTAATAGAATTATTTTATTTTAAGTTTCGTATAATTTATTTTATTCTGTTAAAAAACACGACTATAGTTTATCACTTAAAAATGCACATTGATAATTAAAACAAACATTAACTATTAAGAACTTCACTCTTAGCAACAGGAAATTATTTACAAAGGAAATGGAGTTTAACACTTAAGCTAGGTAAGAATTTTTTAAAATTTCTCCGCCTGAGGTGGACCATACTCCGCAGCTGGTGGTGGTGGTGGTGGACCATATTGTTGCGCAGGTTTCTGTTGTTGTTTATATTTGATGAAATAAACTTCTGGTTTACTGGGTTCAGTTGGTGCTGGCGAAGGCAAGATAATTGGTTGTTGTTCTTCAGGTTTCTTCACAAGAACATATACAAGTGTTTTGTGTTCATCCTGTACAGGTGGTGGTAATACTTGACGTACTGGTACTGGTGGACTTGGTGCCTTAATGAAAATAATTTTGTAATGTTTTTTAGGTGTAGCAGTTTGTATTGGTGCTGAGGCTGGATAAACTTCTGGCTCCGCTGGTGGTACATGCACGTAAACATTTTTCGTTACTATAGCTTCTTGTACGGGGGGACCATAAAAAGGCGCAGGTGGACCATAAATTGGCAAAGGTTGTGCTGGTATTTCTGCTGGAGGGGGTCCATATTCTTCAGCTGGCACTGGTGGAGGACCATATTCCTTCTGTGGTGCAGGTGCTGGTGGAGGTCCATAACGTGATTTCGGTGGTTCTGGCATAGCAAAGGCTACTGCCAGTGTGCAGGCTACGATTAATAATAATTTCATTTTAGATTTGTTTATGTATTTTTTTTTAAATATTTTATTTCGTTATTCCACTTCTTGCTGCGTTTAGGTATTCTATTCGTTTGACTAACAAACCAAGCTTACAAAATGTTTTTATACTCCTTCAATTTTTTTCAATATTACCATTCCGAAAATTTTTGAATTTTCGTAATTTGTTTTTTTTTAATTTATTTTTTTTATTATTTTTGAATTTCGTTTTCAATCGCATTTTTATAAAATTTTGCATAATTATACAACCGAAATAAATTGTGCGACCGAACGGATTATCGTCTCAGTCTGCGCGAACGTAACGTGTGCTCCAGTACACTCCATACATACATAATGAGCTAAACTGACTTTAAAACAATTAAAGCTACAACAATTGCATGTATATATACGATAAATAAATATAAATATAATTCAATTTAATTCAACTCAATTCAATACTTGATTTCCGAAAGATCTGTGTCGTTTTTTTCGGAATTTATTTTTATGGCTCATCAGTTTGTCTGTCCGCCTTATCGCAGTTCCGACTCACCTGCTTATTTGGGCTTCCCGGTATTTAAGTCTATTTACACATACAAAACGTCCAAAATTACGTGTGTATTTTCAAAACAAAAAAATACCAGATATCGAAACCTATATGTGAAGCGACACATTTGCCGTATCGATGCATTACTTTGGTTTATGTAATTCTTATAGAGGCTACGTGCAATCAAGTTTTTTGGCATACTTACCGAAATGTGCATGTTAACACACCCTGTTAAAAATGGAAGTCAATATGCTTAAAAAAATTTTTTAACCATAATTAATAATTATCACAGTGAATAACTAATTAAATAAAAATTGCTTAATACTTAAGTATGTTTACCAATATAAATTGAGGATGTGTTAGTATAAGTGTTATTATTGTTGTTAAGAGATGTGGCACTGCGACCGTCGAGTCTATTGTGCCCCCCACTGGGTTTAGATTAGGTCTCTTAACCCTGTTGCGTCAATAAAAAGTAGGTGTTAAGAGCTTTAAATTCTTTTACTTGCGGGACTCGTGAAAATTCTATATATATGACTCATTGAAACTGAGTAATATTCAATTGATATAACTTGTTGATGTAAATATCGAATAGCTCTATTTCTAAGCACAAAAAGATAATTATACATTATACGTGTTGAATTTTTTCAAGTGTTCTGATATGAAATCCTGGTAGACAACAGTTTTGTGATATCATTTTATATAAAATTGATTGTTGCTTTAATAGCAGCCAACACCCTACCTTATTGCTCCTTGATCGGCAGCACGACACGTTCATGGCAACTTTAAAATTTATTTAAGGGACACTTAATTGTATAGTTTTTATCGTAATTTTTTTTCTTATAAAAATATATGTGTTTTTAGAATATTTTATTGTATGTGTAGAGATATAGAACGTATGACAAACGCTTGATATACCCGCCTTTAGTATATCTTGCAGTTTAATCCTCTGATTAATGCTGTTTAATCTTCTTCCCTCTCTAGTGGTAGTAATTTATTTTTTTGTATAAAAGAGCACCGCTTCAGAAAATGAAATCCTTCACGAAAAAAAAAAAATACAAACAGTAGGATTTCATAGGATCAAGTGTAATTGGGTGACAATTACATGAATTTTCGACTTTCTAAGTTCTTTGCAGATAGATTGAGAAGCTGCAGTTATTCGCAATGATTCATATTTTATTGATATGTATAAAATGGTACGAATTTAATAAAATTGTATAATATATAATAATAGGAGAAATAGTTCAAAGAATTATGTACTGTACTAGAACGATGTGAGCTATAGAATTATGGTTCTAGAAAATTCTATGTACCTTTGTTTATATTAATTTTTTTTTTATTCCCAATAAATTTATATTTAACTTAACTTAAAACAAACTATAAATCATCTTCTCTAATTTCAACAATATAAAGTTAACTTTTTAGGTTCTCGAGTAAGCTACTGTGCCCGGGTTATGATCCCTTCTCATTCTATGGGAAATCAAAACACGACAGGGAATATCAGTACACGACATTTTAGTTTCAAAAACATGACGAAGGTTTAATAAGACTGACGACGATATCATGATATTTAAGCTCCAGTAAGTCCGTATAAATTGCTATAAAATTGTGTTACTGATAATTTTAATTAAAGATTAAACTGCATCTCTTTACTTAAATGTATATTTTATTTTTACTATAGTAAATGTTTCAAAATCTTTACAAAATGTCTTTTTGTCCTTTAACATTACAATCCTCCTCAAACCCTTCTATATGCCCAGAAAGCGAACACAGTCTTAGTATATACGTAAAGATTATATGTTTTTTGAATGTACAACATATTCGATAATTATTCCTACGTATTGAGATTGCAATAACAATTTATTTCTATAAAAATTTATTTTATATTAATATCTTTCAATTTGTTGATGCTGCTGCAAGAGAATAAACCATAACAATACAAAATTTCATTAAAATAATATAATAAATGTTAAATTAATTTAGTATTTAACTCCAGAACGATTTAAACTTTCTGAGAATTATATACCTTTTTTTTATACCTACACCTTTTAACAGAAATACGAATAATAATTCTCATGAACTTGTAATTACATAAAAGTTTCAATAAGATTGTAATGACGTTATTATGATATTTCAGTTCCAGTTAGTCTGTATGGGTTACTGTGAAATTGTTTTACTGATATATATTATATATTATACTGTATTATATAATGTTGCATATATATCATATTTTTGTCGAAGCAAGGGATTATGTGTTTATTATGACATAAGAGACAGTTTCATCGTTTTCCTAACTATGAAAGGCTTATAGATTATGTTGTATATGTGTCAACGATGGTTCTTAATAGTTTTATAGTATATTCTAGTACTTATGAACTCAAGTAAACATTGGTTACTGGTAACTACTGAATATTGAACTTTAAACCAATAATAATAACTGTAGTATCCTTGGTATTCTATTCTTAATACACAAAAGCTTATGTAAACTTTTTATAAAATAGTTTAAAACTTTTTTCTGAATACTAAGTTACTGTTTTCCCTGATTAGTGATAATAGACTACAGTTTGAAGTTTTGTGTTGATCTTGATCTATTTATTTTTCTTACTGAGACTGATAGCTAAAAGATAGGTTTTGAAATGTGAGTTCTCTTAATATATAGATTATTGTTATTTATTATATTATTTATAATGTCATTATTATTTTCCTTAATAGTAAGTATATGTTTGTCGGGCATTAGTTTGGGTAAGAAGAAAGACTCAAAAGTGGAAATCTATGGCCACGTCGGTAATCAGGTTTTTTTCAATATACTTCATAAGACGTGATTTCTTCTATTGGATTAGAGTATTGTTACATTACAAGAGATCTATTCAGCTTGTAAAACTCTGCTTCACTTGTAACCTAAATTCTAATTCCTTAACTAAATCATATATTATTCAAAATTTCTGAATAAATGGAATAAATTTAATAAACTATTAATATTTAATTGCAGCATTTGCAATCACACTATTCTAATTTTTAGAACCCCTACAAAAGTGTAGAATACCTTAACTAAATAAATAATCTTCTTATTTTTCTCCGTTTGCTTCGGCGATTTCATACAGAATTAACAAAGACGAATCCACATTACAAAAACTCCGAGACTACCATATAAAGCTACAATTATTTTTATTTAAACTCAAAATAAATTTTGAACAATATTATTATTTTGTTAATCATCAATGACTAAGACCGATAATATAATTGTTATAAACTGTATTCTCACCAGAGAATTAATATTGGAAAGTCTTCAATAGTTATCGCAATTCACGTCCACCTCTAATATAGATTTTGAAGACAAGTGGCACCAATCAGGCTAGTGTTTCTTTTTTATCTACGTTCACAATAATTACTCATCTGATTACGTTTCACTACCGATTACCATCATGTGCTACTATATCTTCAACTCTTCTATTAAGGTTATATTAAATTAAGTCTACTATTATATGAAATACGTCATACATAAGTAATTCATACAATTCAATTTTTTTTATCTTTTTTGCCATAAAAAAATATTTTAATTTGAATTACCAGGCTTTGCCCAAATTCGCTTGTTATCATTGTTTTTCCCCTATATTTAACAATTAAATATATTTGATGGAATCAAAATTTTATTAAACTACTGTTCATTACTTGAATGCAAACAATATAGATGTTAACCTTTAAATTATCTCGCTTTAACAATATGTATCTTGAATATATATAGTAGGCGTTAGAAACTTACTTTCTACATGATCTCAATCACTTGCCGAATCTCCTGGTAGCCTAAAATATTAAATAGACATCACTTATACTTTTTTTTTTTAAATATAAAACACGAAATGAGTTTATATGCAAAGTGTCTCAGGATACTTAGAACATTAGGAACATCAATGGAACCTTATTGAAACAATCTAATTCGACCAAAAGAATGTGGAAAACCACAACTTCGGAAGAGTTAATTAACACAGAAATTAATAGAGTAGTTCTTATTAGTATGATTAGTTGGATAATGTATAGGAACACTAATTTTATATCATTTTTTATGTTATGCAAAATAATAAATAATTGATATAATTGAATAAATAAATAATTGATAAGATTAAATTCAAAATTACTATTTCAAGAATAGTAATAAGAATAGTAAAATGCTATAAAAATAGATCTTTCTGTCATATTTCGGATAAAGTATATCTACAATAAATAAAATATAATATTAATTTAAATTTATCAGACATCATAAGTGAGTCACTATTTTACTAATAATTATTAATAAATAGATTGAGATTAAAAGAGCTATTTAAATAGATGAGTGCAATATCTATAAAAATATTTAAAATATTTTTGGCTTATCTATTAAAATTTAGATTAATTTTACTCGTACGTCATGAATACCACATTTAGTGTTAAAATTAAATATCTATAAAAGATATATATCAATTATTATATAGCATAATTTATTGTGTGTTTATTTCGAGTAAAATATATATTTGTATATTTATTTATATTTCATAAGAAATATTTGCAACAGATATGAGGTCGTATAAAAATATTATATAGTCGATATAAAATAATTGTGAAACCAATCATTTATTTTGCGTGAGTAAATTTTTTCAGAAAATTTTGAGGTTGGACATCATGAAAAATTAATATGCATTTATATGAACCAAGCATAGAGGTGAAGGGCCTTACGTTGGGTGGTGTGGTATGAATTTATAGTAACAATACTGTAGCATAATCCAAAAATTTCAAACATTTTTAGGCATATCTCTATGCGAAACATGTGCCCACTGTAAATTTTTATGCATATATTATGATTTACTATTAAATTTATTTTAAAGTTTGGCTCTTGTTTATATACTTATAAGCAATTAAGATAATTTTTCACAACTTAAAAATAGACTATTTGGGTTATGGTCAAAAATTTCTGAAATTAGAAATATATTTTTAATTGTCTATAAAAATTTTTAAAAATATATATTTTAAATAATTTATATAAATATAGCTACCTTAATCAAAAGAGTGTTATCATTTAAGAAGAGTCGTATCACATCATTGGCTATAGAAGTACAGAAGAAATAGAACAGCAAATTGTTTGAAAGACTTTCAAAAACAAAGAAGTTACTTTCTTTTTAATATGTTACCTATAAACTTCTGATCCCATTAGTCTGTGAAAACATGACTTCTTTTAAATACGGATATTATGTAAATAGTCTAAGTATCAAAAAGTTACTTATAACTATTTCGCATTGAATGGTTTTTTTGTCTGTAGAGAATTATCTTTCATCAGGACAGATCTGATATTACTGGGCCGTTACCTAACGAAGCACATTAGTTTACGGCACAATCTACCATATACAAACTATTAATGTTTGAATGTGTTTGATTAGAGAGATGTCAAAATACCATAGATTGAAAAAAATTGATTAATTGAAAGCACTGATTCTCAATGACATATATGAAGGGGATTGGTTGTTAGTAATTTAAATCGCTCTTAAATATTTTGAACCATTTTACTCTTCACATATTTGATTTGTAATTTAAATCGCTTTCAAATATTTTGGATCATTTTACACCAGATATCTACTCATTTGTTTAAAATATGTTGCAGTGACCGCTATTGCAAAACTGAAAAGGTCTTGTAACTTGTAAAGAGATAACTTTTATTACGACTGAGCTTGTGGTATTAGAGATTTACCTAATGAAGCAAGTTAGAGTTATCAACTCTATATAAATGATATATAGAATCGTCAAATCAGTTATGACAAAATCAAATATATTGCTTATGAAAGCGTTAGTCCACCAAGAACTATTTAAAAAGAAGTTAAATAAAAAATTTTAAATCTTTTTTTATAATGTCACATGATATGAAACTCTTCGCTTATTACTTTACAATATAATTTTTTTTCAGTAAAAGAATTGCTTATGTTGTCTAATAATTTACTTATATTATAAATTGTTGGCTTAAAAAGTTGTGGACATTAAATTAATTTATACTAAGCAGTTGTAATTGGTATTTTGCCTATAAATAGACATTGTTCTCAAAATAGAGATGATACCAACACATTTGTCATTAGTCTACATTAGTCTAGTCATCATAACAAAATGGAATTATTGTATATAAAAGATTATTGCATTGCTCTACAAAAAATAAATCTTCTGATTATATTCTGTGCTATAAACTAGTTTCGCTCAGGCAATCCTGTCTTTATTAGACAGTCGGTATATATTGAAATCCAAAAAATACATCAATGCTGCTTTGCTTTGATATTTACTGGAATTGGATGTACATGTTCTATTATTTATTCTTTTAAATAATCTGAGGATTTTCCTAGATTAACAAATTTTATGTACTTATTACAAAATATATTATTAATAATTAAATTTTACCCCAAATTACAAATTTCACATTAGAATTCAATATACGACGTTGGTAAATATGGATGCAATCTAGATTTAATCTCCATCTGTCAAATTTTGTTGCCCAATCGAACATTTTTAGAGTAATCTAATATATTTGTAGTAGTGTTAACAGATATTTATGTTTTTCGTAAATACATTTGTCAATTTAAATGAAACTTTAATTGTCAATTCATATAAAACAGCTGTTAATTATAAGGTAAAATTGCTACTCTGGCAAAATATCTAGAGTGTTATTAACTAAACTGGAGTGTTATTTGGCTCTAGATTTACCTATCGAAAATAAAAATTGTACTATAACTGAATCTCGATTGCAAAAGTTACCCCAGATTTAGCAATTGAATGGCTATAGTTTGTTAAGCATTTTTAAGATATTGAACTCTGTTTAATTGAAAATTTTATTCCGGGAAATATTATTGGGGTCACTCTTTAACTTTTAATCGTTGAAAATGCGCTTCATAAAAAAAAAATTATATATAATTAATAAAAATATTGCACAAAATGAACTTCACTAATTATGTGGAAATATTTTAAATCAAATTTATCAAAAAGTATATCTCATCTGCCTTCATAAATTAAAATGTGTACACAGCAGCGAACCCCAGTTTGATGATTCATTATTCGAGAAAGTGGGTTTCCACTGTACTGTATAAAATTCTCAGTAACTGCTTTCCGTTGCTTTGTATCTTTTGATTGGAAATATCTACATATGTACATATGCACGAACTTATTCAGTCGATTGCAGTTAGCTTTTGTATCGCATGAATCTGAATCTTTCGCGCTCGCAATCTTTGATCGAAAATAACTGAACGATAATTGGCGTCTCGCAGGTGTATGAGTGAGAATACTTTGAGAGAGTCTAAAAGTGTTATTAGATTCATTTTTGAATTTAGTATTAAAAATTGAAATAATAAATAATAAATTTGTATATTTGTATGAATTTTTTACGTTTATGTATATATGTATAATAAGTTTAGCACGATATTCGCTTAATCATAATTTTGAACTACTTAAAAATTTTGTGAAATATACGCGTACACAAAGAACTACGACAAAAGAATTTCGTTGAACCACCAAAATGAGCTGTTCTTATCTAAGTTAACATATCAGCAGTGAAATTCGCTCCGAAAAATATATACAAAAAATTTTTTATTCAGTATTTTATAAGTCACTTACGATATCGAAGGTTTATTTTTGTCGTTCTAACGGAATAAAAAAAACATTTCGCGGAAATCATTAAGTTGATATTGTATTTTGTTTTTGATTTTGATTTTGTTTCATAAGCTCATAAGCTCATAAACCATTTGAAATGTTCTGGAGAACAGCGAAAGATAAACCCAAGGAATCTACTTCTAATGAAATTGTACGTCAAGATCCACGTACATCTGTCAAAACTACAACCGCACAAACTGAAACAACAAATACTACAGTCCAGAATGCTACTATTTTTAATAATAACACAAGAACAGTTACATATCAAACAACACGTCAAACTGTCACTCGTCAACAGCAGGCAACGGTTACAGAAATTCTAACACGTCGTACTCCTACCTCGGAAGAGTTAGAACAAATGTTGCAACAGATGGGTAGATCCGAAATAAATTCACGTCGCCGTTCTGGAAATTTCCAAACTAAACCAACAGGCAATAGTGCATCAAACAATGGTAATGGCATTTCTTCGAAAAGTATGCCGAAATTTAAAACCACAACTAGTCCAGGAACGCGTTCCCCATTTAATTATGACTCACATACAGCTTTCGGCGTAAATAGTAGTAGCAGCAGTACTGGCGCCGGCATGCGCTATAGAACTACACCAACAACACCGACTTTAGTGAAAACTGAAGAAACAACAGTGACCACTAAAAATGGACGCACTGTAACCACTTCTGTTGAAAAACAGCGTATAAAATTAGATAATATTAAATTATCCTCACCAAATTCGCCACTAACTGTACCAGCTATACTACCAAAAAGTAGTAATTACACTTTTAACAATAGTAAAGCTAGTGTAAATAGTTCACTAAATAACAGTATTACGCGACCTGCTGGTAGTTTATACACTACTTCAAGTCTGAGTTCAAATAGTTTGACACCAGTATTGATTAAAAGCGATGCCAGGCCAACAAATACAACAATTAAACCAACAAATATAAATAATAAAGTGACTATAAATTCTTCAGTATATTCAACTCCCAGCACATATGTTTCACCTTATACAAATCGTATCACTGCAACAGCTCCTCCAACAACACGTATTACAACAACAGTTAAACCCACACTTACGAGCACAATGGGGGCTACAAAATTAGCTACAAATAGTAACTACAACCCAGTCAGTGTCTTTGGAAATGAATTCAAAAGCAGTTCTGCAGCACCCACAACAAAATCTTCTTATACACCTGGTTATAAGTCAACTACTAGTACTTATAGTACACCAAGCTCAACACCATTTACTATACCAAATATTTCGCCCAATACTAGCAATACCTCACTGGCGTCGACAAAGAAGAAATCTAAACTTAAACCAGGTTATGCATATATATTTAATAATGACACTTTCGATAATCCAGAAAATGAGTTTCGTGATGGTAGTTCCAATGATGTAAAATCCCTAAAGGAAGTGTTCGAGATGTTCAAGTTAAATGTGAATGTTATCAAAAATGCCACACTTGATAAGATCGACAGTACCGTGAATAATAGTAAGTACGATTTCAATATAAGTTTTGTGGTGAATTATACCATATATGTATAAACATTCATTTATCAAATTAAGAACTCTTTGGCAGTGCTTATCTTATCTTGAGTGTCTAACACATTAGATTGAATTAATGCAAAATCAAAAAACACATGTACATACATACACTTATATATTTTATAAATTTACTTTTATGTATATAAAAAGTATACGCAATAAATTCGGTATAAATATACAATAAAATTATTATAGTTCATAGTTCTACATATGTCAGAATTAATCAGTTGAGTGTAGCAAGCCACAATATGCACCAATTAGTATATAACTAAAACGATATTCTAGGGGGTTCACCGCCAATCTTGGTAAAATATTTCTGATAAGCTAAACATATGTAGAGAAAACCGTCACTTTATTTCCGAAAATGAAGTATTTTTTGTTATTACGATTATAATGATACGAAAAATGTTGCTATTTAATATTGTTTTCGATTGTGTGTTTATTATTTATAACAAAATAAATATTTTGTTTTGAATCCTTTATGTCTATATAATATATGCATATACAGTGAAAATAAACAAGACCTACTATAAACAAGACCTACTTTTTAAATCCAGAAACCTTACTATAATATTACTGTTAATATTACTAATAATTATTACTAATAATAATAAAGTTACTAATAATAAAGTTACTGTTCAACTATACATCAGATACTTAAGTTTAAAACCACCTAAAACCTTTGGTGAAGCATAAAATGATATTTAGTATCAGATGCTGCAATTGGTCAAGAACCTTAAGAAAGGGGACTGTTTAAATCCAGAAACCTTACTATAATATTACTGTTAATATTACTAATAATTATTACTAATAATAATAAAGTTACTAATAATAAAGTTACTGTTCAACTATACATCAGATACTTTAGTTTAAAACCACCTAAAACCTTTGGTGAAGCATAAAATGATATTTAGTATCAGATGCTGCAATTGGTCAAGAACCTTAAGAAAGGGGACTCGCCGCCGCCGTGCATAAGCTGAGCAAAAACACACTAGATGAAAGGCACTCTCATCGTCTTCTCCGCATCTGCGACAGATTTGAGTGAAAGGGAGACCTAATCTTCTAGCATTTTTCCCTAGTGCACCTGTAAGTAAATCTACCAGAAGACCGACATCTCTACGGGATATCTCAATTGTGGATTTCCTTTTATCGGAACGTGGCTAGATTGCATACAGATGCCTGTATATCGTTGAGTCTTCCCATCTTTTATTAAAAATTACAGTACAGAAAAAGCACCCTAACTTCTTAGCAGCTTTCGAAAGAAAAGTTATCGGTGAATTTTTAACACTATCTGTGAAGAAGAGGGACTTCGGTGACGCTATAAGCATAAACTATATGCGATCCACCTCAAAGCAGACATAGTCACAAAAATAATAAGTATGACTGAAGAAGAGCCTCTTCAAAAAATTTTTAGTAGCATATTATATGATAAGTAGTCGGAGTCCGCAAAGGGACTTATTACAACTTCTTATATGATGTATATGATGTATATAATACTTGTAACCTTAGTTAATATTAGAAACATTTTTCATACTTCTATTCGATTTTGAAATATATTGCTGCAAATAATAACCTCCCACATATATTTCACTTCAAGATCTTTTACATATCCTTAAATTTAAGTTATTTTTTCATATATAATTCCTTGGCAGGCGTTAAATTTTTAATATTAAATTAAATTTATTTTATGTTTAATTCAGCAAATTATATTATGTTTTCACATATGTACACATATACCTTTAAAGGGGTATATATTTTTTAACAAAAAAAACAATCTAAAACAAAAAGTGACGACATTAAGCATTTCTTATCAAAGAGGGTCATTCCCCAAATATTGCGAAACATTTATCTGATTATTGATAATTGATATTATGTTATTATTATTTAATGCAAAAACACAATGTGCCAATAGGCCTAAGTGGATCTATTAATTCGCCGTTATAACCTAACCTAACCAATTATCATTTAATACTAATTTCATATATTATTTATATTTTCTTTTCAGTTGAGAGAAAGAAATTTGCTGATTACTCATGCCTTATTATAGTAATACTTAGTCATGGTTCAAGGCATGAGGGAATTGCTGCCAAAAATGGTACCTATTCAATCGATGATAAAATACTTTTTCCCATACTCCGCAATCGTACATTGGCAGACAAACCAAAAATTTTTTTCATACAGGCATGTAAAGGTGCTATGGAAATTGGGGGTTTTAAAACCGATTCGGTACAACCTAATGGCACTCCAAGTGAAATACTTAAATGCTACAGTACATTTGAAGGTATTAACGTTTTAGAGTTTAAATATTTACATATACTAATAGATAATATCAAACTTATAGGTTATGTCTCATATCGCTTAAAAGATGGTTCATTTTTCATACAAACGCTTTGTGAAAGTCTGAAAATGCATGGCCAATCTAAAGACATCAAATATATAATGGATGAAGTCTTACGTTTAGTTAAAGAACGCACGAAGTAAGTATAAAGCTTATTAAAATATTTATAATTATTATTATTATATATAAATATTATTACATATATGTATGTTATTTATAGAACTATATTATTTATACAACTAAAATATCAATAAATCAATTGCATAATTACAAATTTGTAAAACATTTTAAAAAAGAAAGGTTTAAATGAAGTCCTTTTAATACTCTTTACCTAGAAAGTTTTACAAATATAAGCACTATGAACTGAACTTTTTGAATTAATAAGTATTATTTTCTCTTCAACACTATTTATTGATCGACAGAAGAGAAAAGGTCTTGTCTACTCACTACAACAAAAACATAATTCGTATTCTGCAAATCATTCTGCAATTTTTCTTAAACAATATAAATGTATATTAACAGTCTCAGGCCTCAAGTAGGATTTAATCCTTTAGTTTTTCGAATTATTTTACAAAAAGAGCATTCTTAATATGGGTTAAATATTCCGGAAAAACTTTCCCAAAAAAACCATGTAACATATACCTACGAATTTGATGGAGAGTAAAATAAATTGCAAATCTTCCAGACACTGCTTTGTACAGATCCAGAACATACTGAACCAATATCAGTAAATAAGTCTCGCTATACATATGGGATTAGTAATCCGATATATCTGATCACCAATATATTAATTTGCATCTTGAAGTATAAGTAGTGCAAAGTATTTAATACACAACTACTAAACACTTAAAACCATATAATGAAAAGTTACATCTGCTTTAAGCTCTTCATTGGGCTTTGACATTAGTCATTGGTCAATAAAGACATGTTAAGCAGGCAGTCAAATCTTAATTATCAATATTAATTTAAAAGGAAATATTTTCTATGTGGATGGGGTCACATTTCTAGCAATTTGCTCGAAAAAGACTCAAATTCTGATATTTATTTCACTCAAACCTAAGCCAAAACATCCATATTATTATTCTTAAAATATTATTTGATTCTTTAGTTGTATTCTCTTGCCCTCAATGTCAAATTTTTCAAAACCATTGAAAAAACAACAAAATTTCCATATTTTATTTCACTATGACTGTGTGCATTTTGAGCTTAAGTGCCAAGATAACTTTCCCTAAAAAATTTTGCGTCTGGCCTATTTTTCTAGATAGGGAAGGTCCGATATTTAAGTAAATACGTAATAGAATTTATATAAATTACTTTTTATAATTCTGTAATATATTTTAATTGATATAATTGATATATACGTTATAATAATAATATAAATTTAAAATTTAAAAATAATGTTTTTTTTTTGACAGTAACATGCAAATTCCATCGCTAACTACCACTCTTACGATACCATTTGTTTTCGGAGACTATTGTTAAGGCATCTAGGCTTCAAGTAGTATTCTTCGTAATATAATTCATTATAATTAAGTTAAAAATAACTTATTCGATATAATAAAAAAGTAAGTTAAGATCTATATTGTAATATTATGAACAGTCATATTTATAGCTTTATCTTAATAACTCAAACATATATACATATCTATATAATATTATATAGATAGATGTAAAAGTATACTAAATATTTTATATAAAAATAAACAAATATATTGTATGTTTCAAAAATTTGTATTAAAAATAAAATTAAAATAAGACAATTAAATAAAATATAATAAAACTTAAAATGTTATAAATAATACAGCTTAATAACTATTTCAGTATTTTTTTCCTTATCAAATTATAATGTTTAATAAGAGAAAAACTTTTCAAAATTGTGTACTGAAGATTATAATTTCAATTAAGTTTAATTTGAACAAATTTTTCAATAGTATATATTAGATAAAAATATTACAAAAAATTTAATGTCATCAAATAAATGAATATAAATTACTTGATCATATCTCGATCATAAATTGTAATTTAGATAACATTTCAAACAAAGAGAGAACTTACATATTCCTCCAGATATATCCCCATTATCATAAGAGTAAAGAGTAAATTTAACAGGTGTTAATTTAATTAACAATTAAATTTGTTGGTTAAGATTGTTATCTACAAATACATATAAGATATTGACAGGCAACTGTTTTAATACATAAAACACATAATGTTCTAAATATAGTATTTATAACTCAATTATAGAAAATATTATATAGCTCTCTAATCAGAGGTCTTTCGCAGAAAGAGACTTATCTTATAAAAAATTTTACTTCCTAATTTGTACTCATAAAAATATTAGTAGTTAACAGAAAACCTTCGAATACATAAGTTCTTAGTATATAAAAGTGATGTCGGGACCCGGATACGCTTTAATTTTTAATAATATCAATTTTGATGGTGCTCCAAATATATCTTCAGGCAAATCAGATAAAAAAGCTATAGTTAAATTCCTAGAATGCTTCAAAATAAAATATTCATATCATGAAGATCTAACAAAAGCGGAAATAGAAAGAGTTATGAAGAAAGGTAGGAAAACTTTTTAACCAAGTAATTTAACAAAGTAAAATTAAGTGATTGAGTATCTAAATGAAGTTTAATTATAAACAAAAATATTATGATATCAATAATTAAGCTGATATAAAAAGAAAAACTCCCGCATTCAACCGATAAGCGCATTTTGAGGATCGTTTGTTTATGTCTAAATTTATATCCCATTTATTCTTAATGTATTTAATAAGTGAATATCAAAAACAAATACAAAATTTTATATAATATATTAAATAATGTAATAATGCCTTCCCACCACAATATCAACACAAAATACATAGGTCTATACATCTTAAAATCAAACAAATAAGACAACCGAAAATATATAATTTTTAAAAATCCGTTGGAAAATGGATTAACATACGACCAAGATATTAATTTAAGGTATCTACGAGTTGATTAAATATATGACAGTATAAGAATTAGAAGAGCATTACAAACAACTTCAAGATAAAATGTTAATGATGAAAAGACAAAATCTATACATATTTTTCCGATCCATAGAAAATAGAAAGTTTTTTTTAAGAAGCTATATATATTTCACATAATTATTTCGTGATTAAAAACCAACATTTAATATATGTCTTTACATTACTATAGTAGAAAAAACGAATTTTACTCGTCATTCCTGTATAATAATTTTCATATTGAGTCATGGTGACAGAACAAGTATAATTTCTGCAAAAGATACAAAATATAATTTGGAAGATACTATTATATTTTCACTACTTCGCAACGGTTCCTTGGATGAAAAACCGAAATTTCTATTTATTGATACTTGTAAGGGTAAAAATACTCCGGAAAAAATCAGAAATGAGGATACAAATGAACAGAGATATCCCGGGCAATGTGTGCAAAGTCAAATACATGACTTACATAAACCTGACTTTTTGCTCACGTTTTATTCTACATATGAAGGTATGTATTATAATATCTTCATATATAAAGCCAATGCATTTGTGATTTTATTTATACTATATAATTATTTTTTCGTGAATATTGCATTTCAAGGTTTTGTCTCATATTATGATGACAGAGACGGATCAGTTTTCACACAAACGTTATGCCAGCACTTGGTAAAATATGGTCATGACAGAAGCTTAATGTATATAATCGAAAAAGTTATGGAAGCTGTTAAAATCTCAAAAAAGTAATTTAATATTAAATTTTTATACTAATTTTATATGATTTTTTAAAAAATAAATTTATCTTTATTTTAAGTGGTAAACAATCGCCATGCTTAACAACCAATTACTTCGGAAGTTATTGCTTTGGAGACTATCTGAGTGAATCATCTTCATTTTCAGAGTTTTTAAATACGAAATTCACCTTAAAAAAAAAAACGTGATCATTCAAATTATTTTTTAATTAATTGTATTTCAAAACATAATTATTATTCTATTATACTTCTAACGTAATACTCGACTTTGCTTCCCTGGATTCAGTACTGTCGATTACAATTGCAAAAGGATACCTATTAAAATTGCAAAGGAATGCGTAATCGTTAATGTATTGTACTTCAAAACATACAATGCTCGTACCCGTTCCACTTTAGTTTACACACAAAATTTTCTATAAAAAATTATTTCGAACAGTTTAAATTGGATCTTCGGCAACAAAATCCTCCACGTAAATGTTCTTTTTCGAACATCCAAACTGCGTCTGGTTAGCACCACAGCTACATCAAAATTAGGGACTTGGGTAAATTTATAGACTTCTTAGGTTCTTCACTTAATTTGATTAGGAGAATTATGGCTTTCGGCTTGGGTCATATGTTATCCACTGAAGTTCTTTCGGAAATATCTATAGTATTATTACGGGTCATTTTTTCAGTGAGCTTTCGATACAAGGTCGTGACTTCAACCTAATCTATCCGATAATATTTATTTTAACGCTTTTACCACATGCATTTTTCCAATGTTTGCCATATTCTTAAGTATTATGTTGTTATACTAACTCTACTTCAAAATTTTTATTAAAATTCTTCCTTTAGCAACGCCATTGTACAAAAGAAATACTAAATATGAAAGAGTACTAGAATAAGGTTTCAATAGATCGATTGGACATTAATCTTCTTCGATTCTCATTTATAGTCTCTCAATTTGAACTTAATAACTTTTATCGAAAATTCTGACTTATAAATATCACATCTTCACCAATAAATTCATCAATGATTATATGCGATATTGCTATCTACAAATAAATATAAGATATTAACAGGTAACAGTTTTGATACATAAAACACATAATGTTCTAAATATAGTATTTTTAACTCATTTATAGAAAATATTATATAGCTTTCTAATCAGAAGTCTTTCGCAGAAAGAGACTTATCTTATAAAAAATTTTACTTCCTAATTTGTACTCATAAAAATATTAGTAGTTAACAGAAAACCTTCGAATACATAAGTTCTTAGTCTATAAAAGTAATGTCGGGACCCGGATAGCTTTCTAATCAGAAGTCTTTCGCAGAAAGAGACTTATCTTATAAAAAATTTTACTTCCTAATTTGTACTCATAAAAATATTAGTAGTTAAAAGAAAACCTTCGAATACATAAGTTCTTAGTCTATAAAAGTAATGTCGGGACCCGGATACGCATTAATTTTTAATAATTTCAATTTTGATGGTGCTCCAAATATATCTGCGGGAAAATTAGATAAAAAGGCTATAATTAAATTTCTTGAATGTTTCAAAATAAAATATTCATATCATGAAGATCTAACAAAAGCGGAAATAGAAAGAGTTATGAAGAAAGGTAGGAAAACTTTTTAACCAAGCAATTTAACCAAGTAATATTCAGTGATTGAGTATCTAAATGAAGTTAGATATTTAATTATGAAGAAAAATATAATGATATTAATAATATATAATGATATATATATATATGTTAATAATTAAGCTAATACAAAAAGAAAAACTCCCGCATTTATCTGATAAGCGCATTTAACAGAGAACAGAGAGAAACATTTTTTAAATCGTTTGTTTATGTGTCATTTATGAGTAAAAACACTTTAAAGTGAACTAATGTTACTGTACTTAGTAACTGAAGATCAAGTTTATACAAAATTTTAAATAATGTAATGTCTTCGCATCACAATATATCAGTACAGATTACATATGTCTATTCATCTTGAACTGACAACCAATAAGACAACCAAAAATATTTATTTTTTGAAAACCCGTTGGAAAACGGTTATTAGTTTAAGGTGTCTACGAGTTGATTAAATACCTATATGACGGTATGAAAATTATTGACCATAACAAGTTAAAATATTAATGATGATGAGATAAAACCTATAAATGTTTTTCCAAACTACACATACATAAAAAGTAGATAGTTTTTATTAATTGTATATAATGTGTAATATATAATTATTTCTGAATGAAAACCTAAAATTTTGTGTCTTTTTAATTTATTATATGTTAGTAGAAAAAATGAACTTTTCTGATCACTCCTGTATGATCATTTTTATATTGAGCCATGGTGACAGAACAAGTATAATTTCTGCAAAAGATACAAAATATAATTTGGAAGATACTATTATATTTTCACTACTTCGCAACGGTTCCTTGGATGAAAAACCAAAATTTCTATTTATTGATACTTGTAAGGGTAAAAATACTCCGGAAAAAATCAGAAATGAGGATGCAAACGAACAGAGATTTCCCGGGCAATGTGTGCAAAGTCAAATACATGACTTATATATACCCGACTATTTACTTATATTTTATTCTACATATGAAGGTATGTATAATAATATATTACTATATAAATTTTATGTGATTTTATTTATTTTATATTTTTTGTCAATATTTTAAAGGTTTCGTTTCATATTGTAATCATAGAGACGGATCAATTTTCACACAAACATTATGCAAGTACTTGGTAAAATATGGTCAGGACAGAAGCCTAATGTATATAATCGAAAAAGTTATGGAAGCTGTTAAAGTCTCGAAAAAGTAATTAAGTATTAAATTTTTATATTTACTTTATTTGATTTTTTATGACTTTATCTTTATTTTAAGTGGTAAACAATCGCCATGCATAACAACCAATTACTTAAAAACTTATTGCTTTGGAGACTATCTGAATCAATCCAGCTCTATTTTCTGAGTTTTATCGTATGAAATTCTCTTAAATAAAAAAAATGTAATTTTTTAAATTATTTTTTATTTAATTGTATTATAAAACATAAATATCATTGTTTTCTACTACTAACAAGATACCTGACGTTGCTTCCCTGGATTCAGTATTGTCGATTATAATTGCAAAAGGATGATAAAAATGCGAAGAGATGACTAATTGTTAATTTCTCGGACTTTGATTATAAGTCTTGCCTGTCTCCTAAAAACAGACCATGTACAAATAAAGGGAAATACTTTTGTGTTTATTGTTAAAAATTCCCATACTAGCTAACTAATCTCCAATAGGTATTTACTGCCATCAGCCTAAGGAGATTTCTTCTATTTCTGTTCATCACCGACATTGTTTACTTAAAATTGCAGTCCGGTCATAGGGCCATGTCCTACTAGTCTTATATGTTGCAAAAATTTTTCATATACAATCCGGTATTTGAAGATAGTTGAATTTCTTGAATGTTTTAAAATAGTATATTTGTATCACGAAGACCTAACAAAAGCAAAAATAGAAGGAGTTATAAAAAGAGGTAAGGAAATCTTTCGAACAAAAATCGGACAGCTTTTTAGCTTCACCCAAATTTTTCTTTTAAGTTCCTTTCATAAAATAAGAACACCTGTGATTTTTTTTTCTATGAGATGGGGTTTTGAGAATCAGCATTGTAGTCACACTTTTAAACGGCCCTATTTCAGGCTCTATAAATGATGAAAACTTAAAATTTGTTACGTTTTAAAAATAATTAATTAATATTTTTAGAAATTGTTTATATTTAAGAACTAATATTAACCGTGAAATTTTTCTAAATGTGTCCCGAATATTTTCTTTTTTTTATATTTTATTTATAATATCGGATTAGAAAAGGGATTAACATACGACCATACGATTAAACATACGATTAAATATATGACGGTATGAAAATTATATTAAAAATAGTTAAAATATTTATGATGACAAAACCTAAATGCTAGGACTACAAATGTACAGAGTTATCCCTGGCAAAGTGTTAAAATACAAGACCTACATATACCTGACTATTTACCTACCTTTTATTCTACATATGAAGGTATGTATTATAATATAATATTATAATATTGCATTTCAAGGTTTTGTCTCATATTATGATGACAGAGACGGGTCAGTTTTTACACAAACGTTATGCCAGTACTTAATAAAATATGGTCATGACAAAAACCTAATGGATATAATCAAAAAAGTTATGGAACCTGTTGAAGTCTTGGAAAAGTAATTTAATATTAAATTTTTATATATATTTTTTATAATTTTTTATTAAATAACGTTTTCCTTATTTTAAGTGGTAAACAATCACCATGCTCAACAACAAATTATTTCGAAAGTTATTGCTTTGGAGACCATCTCAATCAATCATCTTTATTCTCTGATTATGAATTTTTTAGGAAATTCAATAAATAGAAATAATGTAATCTTTTAAATTATTTTTAATTGAATTATACTACAAAACATAAATATTATTCTATTATACTATTAACACAATACTCGACGTTGCTCTTTGGATTCAGTACTGTCCATTACAATTGTAAAGGGATGCCTAATAATTAATTTTATATTATATATATGTTATTTTTTTATTTGAACTAATATATTATATATATATATATGATATATATATTATAATATAAATATTTGAACTAAAAAGCCAATCTAAATAAAAACATATTATTTTAATTGTTGTTGGTTGGTTTATTGAATCCACATTATCCACAGATTACCGTGATTAGTTTCAGTCTATGAGGTTTAGGAACCTCTAGAGTTCGTTAATATCAACTATTTGTATCTCGCCAAGAGACATTGCTGCCTTATCCTTAATTGCAAAAACTTCTACCATTAAACAATTACCGAGTTTGGTGTGAACACTTTTAATAAATTTTTTATCTGTGCACCTAAAAATATGCAATTCTCGTACTAGATTCACTCATTGTCTTAACATTAATATTTCGACAGATAACATTACTAATATTTTAATGCAATAAAATCAGCTATTTCAAACATTTTTCAAAAAGCTTTGAATGTTTTTTAGTCAAAACAAGAATATCTGGTAGGCCCAACAGCTACATCGTCAACAATTTGATAATGCTGAGTTTCTCTCAACGAAGTAGCTAACTCACATGGGTACCTGGACACAGGAACATTTCGAGCAACTGCAGGACAGACGAGTTACCACTCTACTGCCTGACTTTAATTTCTCGGATGTTGGTATCTCACTTAGAACAGTCAAGTTGTATGTTGACAATGAAACAAAAATATCTGAGTATAGTCAGATAAAAACTCGAGTCGTAGCTCAAGATGAGTCTGGTCCAAACTTTACAAGGAACGTACCAGTTAGATACTTTAACTAAAGCATAACTTGCTCAGCACTACGGTATTGGTGTTGACAAGTCATTACGAACTAGAAAGAAATGCTATAAGACTACCCTGTAATGACATTTGTCGTGGTTGTGGCTCTGAGTATGAGAAGAAAACTGTACTCCACCTCATTAAGGACTTAAGTAAGTTTATATACGTTTTAGGTTCTTCACACTTATTTGATTAGGACAATCGTGTCTTTGGCTTTGCTCATAGTTTGACCACTGATGTCCTTTCGGGAATCGCGGCGATATCATTATAGGTCATTATTTTAGCTCAAGTGAGCTTTACAAGGTCAAGATCTTTTCATATACGTTTTTTCAATGTTTCCCGTTATTCTTAAGTTTTATGCTGTTATACTAACGCTACTTCAAAACTTTTATTAAAACTCTTTCTTTAGCAACGCCATTGCACGAAAATAGTGCTGAATTTGGAAGAGAGCACTATGTCTAGAATAAGGTTTCAATAGATCTTAAATTTTTTGTTCTAATTGTTTGGACGTTAGTTGTTTTCGATTCTCATTTATAGCCTCTCAGTTTCAATTTAATCACTTTTAACGAAAATTTTGACTTATAAATATGACATCTTCGCTAATAAACTATACTAAGTTTTTAGAAACTACCAAAGACATCAATTTGTTTATATTCAATTGATCTCAATGTTATATGCAATGTGGGTGAAGTTAAGTTAGGTTATACCGGTGATCCCTATTGGATCCACTTGGGCCTAATAGCCCATATATGCAATGTAAATACTTAGTAAAAAAGTATATATACAACTTAAAAGATCTTCTTTTGTTAAAATTATGAAATGTTTAATTTTATTTATGTACTTAATACTTTTGTATGCATGCATTCCAACTTTCTTAGTCACTATATAAAAACATATGTTTACTAATGAATTGGTACTAATTTATCATAATATGGCATTGCATGATTTTAATCTTACACGCATCTTTATTAAAACTCAAAGTCAATCAGGCAAACGAAAAAATATTACATTTCAATTAGAACTTAACGACTAAGACTGCACACTTCATTTTTAATGAAAATAGAAAAATTAGGCATTCCACAAGAATCTTTTAAATACTTTAAATTATTTTTATTTAATCTTGAGACCGGAATCACTAATAGCTTTTATCGTGTCAATAGACGATAATAGTTCCAATGAACTGAGGTGTCATCAATGTCTGCAATGATATCCGCAAATAATGATCATCTTTATGGAATATGATATCCTCATGGGAACTTGAGGTCCACATTCTCATAAGGTCGTTTCCTAGATGAAAACGATGGATTTCATTTAGAGTTGGTACAACATCTTTATTATCTGTGACAAGATCTTGATAATCTCTTCTTATTCTTACAGAATATTGTATGTTTTATCGCCCACGTATTTAGTATCTATACTATATCTACTATAATAGCTACTATAGCATATATATCTACAATACACTATTGAATATTATATCTTTCACTGTTTTTATATAAACGATATTAATCGAAAAAAAAAAAATTTTAATCCATAAAAATTATCCTAAAATCGGTAGAGCATGTTTAGATGTCAATAAATGGTTTTCAATACTGATGCTTGTCCTATTTAAGGCATTTGACTATAAATCAATTCACGATATCTTTGACCATATCAAATTAATTTTATTAGTACGATGGAAATAAATACGTTTTTCACTTTTTCCAATTGAAAAGTCAAGAGAATCTTTTCTTTATCTTTGTGAAGTTGTAATGTTCTGAAGTTACTTCAGTTGTAATTGTCATGTATTATAACGAAAAAACTTTTGGATGAAAAAGAAACATAAGTGATTTTATATCACTATTTTAACTTCTGGCTGGAAGAACTCCAAGTTGTTTCCCAAAACTTTTAATTCATAATATATTAGTAACCAATCTATCACTTCTAACAAAAAATTAACTTCTTTAAATAGCTTAATTTTAATATATTATAAATAATGCTGCTGTGCATCATAATTATGCAGTCAGGTTACAAACAATTATTAATGCTGTTATTTTTTGTCTTTTTTTTGTTTATCATTCTACATACATACAAAAAAGGAGCGATTATATATGCAAGTAAATGAATATATATAGCATTGAGGATAATCGAATATATTTTGGTCCCACCATGATAGACATTCCTGAGATGTCCGCAGAGTTTGCAAAATAAGATCAAACTTCTAATTTAACTCCTAAAAGGAGTTTTTTAAAATAAATATAACTTCTGACCTTCTAATTTAAGATCGAACTTTCAAAAATAAATTGGAGTACTATTTTTGTATGTTTAAAAGACTCAGAAGGTCTAAGTTCAAATCCCACTAAGATCTGGTCTGAAATTGCATTTAGGAAACATTTTTAAAAATGGTTGGTGGATCTACGAGTATCTAAGAAATACAGATTCAATCATTCTTTAAATTCGCCAAATGGTTTACTACAAAAATTACGTAAAGTTTGTATCTCCCTCTAGAATTGCTAGGGACCAATAGGTGTATGTTGGGCTCACGATGAGCCAGAAATGAACAAAATGATCTCTTCCTGGCATTGCTAGGGACAAATAGATCTATGCGGGGCTTACGGCGAGCCAGAGCAGTTCGCCATTCACTAACTGCCGATTGATGTTTTTCTTTGGATTATGTCAAAAATACTGACACGTTTTTATACAAAGTCTAATCGTTGTTTTAGCTATTCTAGCCTTTGCCTATTCATATCTTTCGTTAAGAAAATCTAGCATTTCATAGAGTTTACTTTGTTGATCTTCTATTTCTGTAAAGGGATACTGATGTTTCTTTATCGTGATTGAATCAAGCGTGAAAACTTTTAGAAATTTTAGGTTCATATATGTCTGCCATATATTGTTTTATAGGTGAGCATAT